AGATACAGTTGGACGTTATACACTTTCTGATTGTTACTAACCTGCGTTCGTTTGACTACTAATTTCTCTGTTGTAAATACCTCTTCAGATATACCAGTATTTTTCCCTACGTATGTGTTTGTCCTTATTTCAATACACGCACGCGGAAACACTCAACATCTCAACAAAACCTTCTATAGATATTAGCTTTGGATTCTATAATCACAAGAGATGCACAAAATGGTGGAAGTTTAGATTCCAGACATTTATTAATACTGCAAAAAACTGCATGGGTAACGTTGACAAAAGTGTCCAGTTGAGTTGTTGCACATGCATTTTCAAGCTCTTGTCTAAAGGCCGGCCATGTAATGCCATCGGTTGAAAAAATACACATAATACAGGGCAATTTGACAAAACTACGGATGACAAGTTTTCCCTTTGTTTTGATGAACTCTCTCTCTCTCTATATCTATCTATCTATCTACAGACTGGTAAATTCAGGCCAGTAAATAAATATATATATATATATATATATATATATATATATTTATTTACTGGCCTGAAATATATATATATATATATATGTGTGGTGTGGGGGGTTGGTTTTCTGTACTGACGGTAAAATAGGCCAACACCCTAAAGAACGATACTGATATGTGATTTGAATAAAGTTTTGACAATCTACTACGTAGTAGATATTCTGAAGATCAACATTAATATCAGTGTGTTGCATTGATCTGAGCTTTAGACGTTGACGTATGCTGCGATAAGTTTCAATTGTGGTCAAAGTTCCGATCAATCATGTCTTATCCACAGAGATGACTACGTAATCCATTTGTTCGTTTAAACGTATTTGAGAAGGGTGGCACGTTTCCATTGCTTTCTGCGGTAGACCAGTTGTCATCCAAGGCCTGTCCTGCTATTTACCCATAGCTAATTCATACCGTTCCCAAGGTATTAGCACGTAAGTGAATGTAATGGATTTGATTGAAATTTGAACTCGGCTCTCCAATACCTCAATCCGAGCCGCTATCCATTACTTCTAAGTAAACACTATTAAAAAGAACATTCTTAAAACCAGGTTCTGAACGGCGATGTATTGCAGACGCTCCCCAAGAATGATTTATTGTAAGAACCTCAGTGGCTGACACCACGGCGTTCTCAGCACAGATAAGAGTAAATGTGACCTCAGGATTTTCAGCGCAAACCGCTGTGTATCATTTACTTGCAGTAGATTGACGTTTACACTTGCTTCGAATCAGAGTTACACATGTCCTAATATTTTCGTTCTCAACTCCAGGAGAATTGAGGGGTTTTACCTGGGTGATTGAATAGGGATCTATAGTATTCGCTGATGAGAGCCAGTTTTGTCTTCATGCAAGTGATGAGCGTTTTGTACGTGCGGTGTAGCCCCAGATAGTGACATCTTTCAGAGTAAATTCGTTTACAACGCACAGGGTCAACTCCTGGTATCACGATGTGGGATGCTATAAGTTATAACTCTCCTTTATTGTCTGTGAAGTGGATATTAAACATCACCATGTACGTTCAGAATAGTATTTAGCAGGTTTTGCTGTTATCTCTGCAACAGGAAAACGATGCGATGTTCCAGCAGGATAGCGCCTGCCTTCACGATGCCCGTACTACTCAGGCTGTTCTACAACAACACTCGTCGTCACTTGATATATGATACGACGAGTCCTGGTGTGTTCCATCCGCCTAGCTGTACCGGTATTACGTTAACAGGTACAAAAAGAATATAATAATGTATCTTCGGATGTTATTCGCCATCCCTGCCATCGTATAATTGCGAGATAATGAGCCTCTCTTTAAGCGTAAAGACGGGTAGGTTTAGTTGATTTTTACGACATGCTGGATTATTCAATGTTGAATTTAGTATCGGGAACCCATTGAGGATCGAATTCGTTATGCACCTGTAATGGTCAGCCTATTAGGTTTGCTAAAGATTATTTTACGCCAGAGTGCCCCAAACCAAGATATATATAGTGTATTAATCCGGTAGAAGGTCATAGCGTCGAGGGACAAAGTGTCGAAAGACAAAGCATCGAAAAACAAAATGATGAATGTAATTTCGAAAAGTCAGTTTCAAAAAGACAAAATGTTGAAACGAACATATCGTCATGATTTTAAAAACTAGGTTCAAATAATCAATTAAGCACTTCCAAGCATTTTATTGTTTAGCTTTGAGCACCATTCATTAAATAATAGACTTAAAATTGAATATGCGTACATAATCATCGGTTAAATTAAAATTATAGGTTAAATTTTATTTTTAGTTTTGCCACAATTGCAATTTCACATGAATAAAAATGTTAACTCTTTAGTGTAGTTTGAATACAGATCCTCGTTCAAAAAATTTAGCAAGTGTGTAGAAAGTTTTTTTTTTTCATTGGAGGTTTTTATATTAGTTTAAAATTTTAAAATAATTATTTACCGGCGAGATATTTTCATGCTAAGTAAAAGGTATAATTAGGTACATTTCTGGCACTTCGGCACTTTGTGCATTCGACAATTTTTTCGTTCGATACTTAGTCCATTCGTCATTTTGTCTTTCGACACTTTGTCCTTCGACACTCTGCGCAAGATTGATCCGAAGTTTAGGCCCTGTTTCTACGTTTTTTTTTATTTTTATTTTTTTATTTTATTTTGGAGCCTGTGTTCGTACGTGGTTACTTACTGTAAAACATCTACGTTTTCTATATTTTTAAGCTTGAGTAAATTGAAATACGTATTCGAGGGAATGAGATTATATTTTCTTTTTCATCAGTGTACATCCTGTTTGAATCAATCAATAAAAACCAAATGTTCCACTTTTGGTTGTAAAAAATAACCTTCAACTTAGTTTCAAGTAAATAGAGATGCTAGCCCCTGCTATTTAACCCATAATGGTATTCATACCTTTCCCATCTGTATAGTATGAAATAAACATAACTGGTTAGGCTGGAATTTAAACACGTCTTGCCAATTCCAGTTTCCACAGTGATAAGTTACGCTACCCAAAGTGAAACTGGAATAACATATAATACAGACAAAGAAACTATATTTCTATACAACAGTGAATGATTTGATATTTTAACAGAATATCCTGAAAACGTTACGATTGCATTTACGAATGTTTGTAAGAGCAGAAGAAGGTTATCATTACACAGCCTTGTTCGTCTCATGTTTAATTTTATTACACCAAATGCTTTAAAGCCATTTAAATAATAACCTTTTTGTGGGAATGGCCTTTTCTTGGATTGTAGGCGTAGTGATGTTTTTTGGCACACATGAGATGTGATTAAAAAAAAAAAAATTCTTCCAAAAGGTATTTTTTTCAATACTGTCGCTCTTTGCCTTTTCTCCTATTGAAGACATTTCGGTAGCAAACAGGATATTAAGCCATTTCTCTGTTGTTACTTTCTAATAATTTTGTTGGCAGCCATGTTCCAGGGATTTTTGAATTCTCCTTACAGCTTATCAAGGGGATACTAAATTGTATTTTATCTGACATTCCGGTGCATAATAAGCGTGGTAGATCAAATGCTTTGAGAGGAATATTTTTATTAAGGTCTTTGGGGATTCCAAATAGGCGCCATTATTGTTATGATTCATTTAAAGGCTGCTGCTGCTGCTGCTGATGTTAAGAGATTCTTATAGGATTTATATTATACACTTCTCTCAGACTTGATTATGCAAAACAAATGCTTTTTTATAAGGTTGTTATTAACTAATAAAGTTGTTGAAACTTTTAGGAGAGGCTGATATTTAAATGATAGTTACACCATGTGAATGTCAGATTTGAATATTTGTTTTGCATAGAAATGTTTACAATAACATGGTTGGGTGCGTGAGATTTTATAATGTAACACTAAGGTAGTTAATTATATATATATATATATATATATATATATATATATATATATATATATATATATATATATATATATGTGTGTGTGTGTGTGTGTGTGCGCATGCGCAAGAATGCACACATACAATATGAAAAGAAAAAAATTTCAATGAAAAGTGCATATAAAAAGAAAATCGAGAAGTATAAACAGTCAATTGATGGTAGCACTTGACGACTGGACGGAGTGATTCCAGGGGCATCCATCTATGAACTTTTGGTGTCGGGATGCTGAAGTTAACATTAAATAGCTAAGTAACAAACCTTTTACTCATATTAATTATATATATATATAATTATAAAATGTGAATCACTATCTAGGTTTCTGCCGTTAGGTGCCATCAGGTGGCAGAGTAAATTTAGTTTTGAAACGTCTGTAATTCCTGTTTAACAACAAACATAGTAATTGCAGAGAAAAGCAAATGTCCATTTTCATTATGCACCACATTACGAATGGACTTTTATTCATTTTTTCTTTCAATTTCAAGACGCAATCAGCAAGTTTCGTGTCATGTCTATCAGGGTGTAGGATTTAAAAATGTCATGATTGCTTTTTTGTTTTTTGATTCTAACATTAAAATAAAAAAAATAATTTTCGGTGTATTATACTTTTTTTTATCAGTAGCAGTGACCTGGCCTAATATACTACAGTACTTAGTTTAATTTCTTCAACTGTTTGATTTTGTCATCCCCAATATGTAGCTCACTTCTTGAGCTTTCTCTTTTGCTAACAACCATCTATTTTGTCTTCTTACAGTTTATAGTTAGTCATTGCTTCTTGTTTTCTTTTACACCCTGTCTATTTTAATTCTCATCACTACTAATACTCTTGTAATAAATATAAATCTACTGCATTCATTTTGCTAACAATATTTTGATATGTTTAACACCACTCTCACATATCTACCTTAGCGATCAGGTAATAATAATAGAAAAAGCTGTTATATCTATTGACAACCTTGACGAGATTGAGTCGAATTCAAAAAAGGGTTGGAGAGAATGATTAAAATCCTCCCAGCTTGAAAGATTGGCACATGGCCCAAAAGAAAAGTTCCGTCTTAGGTGGCCCCCTACAAGACTATGATAGTATGACTATTTATATATCTGCCCCCACCCATCAACATATATCAGGCAAATGAGAAAGAAAGAGAAAGAAAGAGAACTGCAGAGAGGAAGAGATAAAGGGAGAAGTAGAGGACGAAGTGATGAGGAATCAGAAAGGGAGGCGAAGAAGGGAAAAGAGTGAGATGAAGAGAGAAAAATGGAGAGGATGATTTGATTTTCCGATATCATTTTCTCTCCCTTCTCTCTTTTTCTCATTCCACACCACACTGACCCCAATCTTCTCCTCTCAAGCACACTTAGATCCGCTAAATATTCTCGAATAATCCTCATCTTTTTTTTTCAATACGTACTCAAACTTAGGCGTGGAAATACAAAGTTGGGCTAAAAGAAGATGAAGTAGACATATTGAAAAGCAAGGCCATTTTAAAGTCGTTTAGCCGCTTTGAAACCCGGAAACCGGAAGTGAAGCATCTGCGGATTTCTTGCTGTTTAAACCATCAAAGAATAGCGGTAAATGTTTACGTGTCGCCCCGCGTATGGACACGCGTCCGGGAATACAGATTGGCCGCCCTTATCTTCTGCTCCCGGACCTCTGAATTTACCAGTACAGCTTCCTGTTGGCGATCAGACATTTTAGGGGAGAGAAAAGGAATGCATGTTAATGATTTACAAACACATACGCACGCACATAAACATATCCCGAGGTTGATAATAAAAAGAAAAAGCGTGTACTTTCCTGGCTAGATTGGTAGTAAATTTCCTCTTGGCGTCGCTAATCGGGTTTTGAACTACGGTGAAGCTGTGTGAATTCAGCGCAGCTTGGTCCTCAAAAAAAAAAAAAGAATTCTTTCTTGGCCAAGCCAAAGAAAACACATTGGAAACAGAAGCTATTTCTTTTTCAAAACAAATTTTATTCTGAGGTAAGGTAGAGTCTTTCAATTGTCAAATGGCAAAAAGCAAGAAAATAACATAGTCATTTATTGGGAAGACAGAAAAGGAAATTCAAATGAAATAATTCGAATTATACAAGAATTGAACATTTTTGCCAAACGTCATTATAGCAATTTTCACAGTAGAGGAAATCGGTGCAAATTCCACGGTTAGGGACAACTAATATCATCCATTATCACGTGAATATGTTATTCTTTCACACTTTGCCTGTATCTTCTCGCTCCCTCGCTTATCCCCTAAAAGAAAAATCATCCAATTACCTCATGCATCCGCTCTTCTCGCAAAAGTTGCCAGTATCTTCTCATTCATCCCCTTATCCCTTCCATTACAACTAAGATTACCCATTATCTAATATCTCTGTTCTTCAACCAAGCTTTGTCACTTTTCATTCTTTCCCATTTCCCTCACAATCACAGTAAAATTATATATAATCTCATGTATGTGGATTTTTTTCATCTTTTTATGTATCTTCTCATTCTCTTCCTTATCCCCCCCAATAAAAGTAAGATGAACCATTATTTCATTCATTTATTCTGTCACCTTTTATCTGTATCTTTCATTATCTTCCATATCCGTCAAAATACAAGTGAGATTATCCATTATTTAATTAATTTTTCCCATTTTTTATCTGTATCTTCTTTTTCTATTCCTTATCCCTCCCATTAAAAGTAATACGATCCATTATCTCATGCATTTGTTCTTGTCTCGTTTTATATAGGTATCATCTCATTCTCTTCCTTATCCATCCCAATAAAAGTAAAGTACTCCATTATCTCATTCATCTGTTCACTCACTCTTTGCTTCGATCCTTTTCAATGTTTGCTGATTTCAACTTAATAAATACATTGATTAGTTTCATATGCAAAAATGCGTTAAGGAATTCTCAAATATTTTCTATTTCATTTTCTCTTTATTTCTTTTACTCTATAAAAATTTCAGTCTCTCTAGATATCTACCCATGAAGTACGTCTCTATACCATCCACTCCATATTTTCTTTTTATTTGTAATTCTTTTTGCTTTTCTCTAGTTTTGTTGCCTCGCCATTGTTTACCGAATACATATTCGCTTAATGAATAATAGATTGGTTACTTGGCCAGAAAACATAACTGAATCCAATCCTTGAATACTGATAATGGAGATGACACAAGGTAGAATATTATTGACAGTCATGCAAACAAACAATAGTATAGATACTCATCAGAAATGCCGCTCATCCAGTGCCGATACTACACTTTAATCCTAATCCTAATGCGTAAATAATTCCAGTTTAACAGGGCTAGGAATTTTGTGCACACCCTACCCTTAGTATTTATTTGCCGCCCCACGCTGGCAAGATGTGATACGAAATAGCCGATCCCCCGCAGCAGCCGGTTGCGCTTGCATCGGTGTTACTACCGCTACCCCCCACACACACACATACTAAGTGCAATGAGGGAGATACTGACGCGAGCAGCTGTTCCCCCTTGACCGAGTACCTTTCAATAATATTTTCAGTAGTGCTCTGTCCGCAGAAACACATTTGAATTGCAGCCTGTCCAAAAATAAAGACACAATTCAGAGATACTACACGTTGATGTGTGGTAGAAAAGCATATGACAGATGTAGAAACAGAACAAAATAGTACAGAGTCTCCTCACTCGTTACAACAAATGTTCTGATGTCAGTTCCTTGAAGCTTTCTAGTTTCTTTGACCAAGAATCTTTGTTTCGTCGTATAGATTGTGAATAATAGCAATTCAGTTCACATTGGTTATTATTGAGAGTTATTATTGTGCTCCCTGTATTTGTTGTAGTTTCTATGAAAAGCATTACGTGTGGAACATGACTCGTATGTCTGTTCTATTGACTAGAATCAATTTTATAATAATAAAAACACAATTGGTCTCTGAAATCCAAGGTTATGAATATTTTCCAAGGAATTCGTCTTGAAATTGCCATGAATTTTACTTCTTTAATGGATATCTGAAAAAAATTCCGGCTAACTGTTGACGCCATCAAAACGTTTTACTATTGAATAGTTTACAGGGTTAACTGGCCAACTTGAGAACAGGACTTAGCAATATCATTATTTTGAATTCAATACATCAGTTAAGAGCTAATCGTTATTTTGAAGTAATATATAAAAGTTCACCATTGTATGAAAAACTTTTATTGATCAAGAATAGTTGTATAATTTCCAAAAGAAACAACAATCATGGTTATTATAAAATAATATTCATTTTACTTTAATATTTCTAAATGATGAAGTCATAAAAAATAAATTAAAATCATTCGATGGGAAGCTTTTCAGAACTATCCTTTAGGATGGAAGAGTAAATTATGTTTCTTCTTCACCCAAACAAGGATCTCATTTCGCCTGATAGAAAAGCAGTAATGTTTTAATAACTTTCGCTCTAACTTTTCTTTTATGGCCACTTTTATTCGTACTTACCATGTGACTAGGTTACGGGCTTTGCTGTCATTCGACCATGTATTACTCTAACGTATCCTTTTGTTCAAACTTTGACTTGTGTAAAGCCCCGCTGCTGAACATATTACACAAGTTATTTCGATCATTAATTTTTTAATGTTATGATTGCCAGGTCATTTCAAGTGCAGACAATAATTTTCAAAGTTTTCAGGGAATTTTTTTTGCAAATCCTTTTTCCTGCTGATCGTCTAAATTACCGACCAACACCGTCCACTAGTTTAACCACTTATAATAAAGCTTCTTAAACCTAATAAATGTCAGGCGTTAATTAGAGAAATAGATTGTTAATACATACACTGAAAGTTTAAACTTAGAATGTTTAAAAAAAGATATTGAGTGGTGTCAAGTGTCCTTTGGCGATAATTAGATACGTTTTTCCCCTCCACCACCCGGCAACTTCTAATGGTTCATCAGGTGCATATTTAATATAGAAAGTGGAAATTAGAAGTTGTTTTTTTTTTTCATTGAAACTGCTAGATGTCTTGTACTCAAAAAGAAAGCCGGAGAGATCGAAGCCCCCCCCCCGCAAAAAAAAAACAAAACAAAACAAAAAAAAGCAATGAAGATGCGAACGCAATGTATTATTTACATTCTGAATATTGTTCTAATCAGGGAATTATTCATGTAAATGAAGTAAGTAGCGATAATTCTTCATCCCCGAAATTTAGAGAGAAATTAGCGAACACAATTTATTGACTAAATGACAGGAATTTACGATTAAAGTAACAGGCTTATATGTTCTTGCTAATTTATCACTGTTACTGATTTATTTTTTTTGGCAAACATATCCTTCATCATATTTCTGATATTTTTTCAAAGATGATGAAGTAATGTGAATGCAATTCTACGAAATAATGCTAAGAACATCAGACAGGGAACATATAAGCAACGCGGGAATTTGAATGAAAAAACTACAAAGAAAGTTATATATTTACAATCAGAAAGAGACAGCTCGGATACATAATGAAGAAAGAGGGATAGTGCAATCCTTCGACGTCGTGGATAATGGTCTTGCTTGGTTTGTCACAATCAGTTGGGTTTGTGGAGACTGGAATGGATAATGAGATCGATTTTTGCTTCAGATTTCCTTCGACATTGAAGATATGTTGTTCCAGATGGTGGATTAAGACTTGGTTGCTGCCTTTCGTTTCGATTTCTTTATTTTTCCTCAAGTTTGGCTGATCGTTTGATTTCTCAGATTGTTGTTTCGTCTCTGACAATGGATTTGCAGAGATTCCTGTCCAATTCACTGGATTCCGAGCTGTTGATGTCAATGTTGCATTTCTTCATTTTTTTTATTTTAGAGAACGTCCTTGAAACTCTTCTTCTGTCGTGAATAAAAGATGTGTTTTGGTAGACTGGTATCATCCATTCACACCAGATATCTACTTCAACGAATTTGCTTTTTTATGACGATGGCTTAAAATCTTGGTTATTTTAGCTTGTTTTAGTATGTTGATGTTGCTTCTTCTGTCTTTCCAACTGATGTAGAAGTTACTTTAAAGACAACGTTGGTGAAATATTTCAAGGAATTTCAGATGTTGATGAGTTGTCCCGGTGTCATAGGCATGCAGGAAAGGTGGAATCACTACTGCCTTCTACACTAACATGTTGGTGCCTTTTCTGGTGTCACGATCTTGAAAAACTCTATTTCGAAGGCAACCAAAGTCTGATACTGGTCATTTGAGAAGGTGTTGTATCTTACTTGAAGGTCATTGCTAGAAGATAGATGGCTACCATGATAAGAGATCTAACTTCTCCAAAATTGGTTCACTAAGTGTAATCTTTGATTCTGACCGGACTGTTTTAATTGGTGATGGTTGATAGATGATCT